TCTTCTCTTGTTAGTATGGAGACACCATATTACAAAACAATATGTTAAAGATGTGTTATACGCAGTCGAAAAGAGGAGTATCAAGACAATACAGCACAAGTACAAGACAGTAGTTTGCATCGTATCTTTTGTATAGCTTTTCACACACAGAACTTTTTACAGAGAGACGCTTTTACACACAGATGCTTTTAGACACCGACACTTTTACATACGGAAGCTTTTGCGCACAGACATTTTACACACGGAAGCTTTTACACACAGACGCTTTTACACACATAGGCTTTTACACACAGACTCCTTTACACACAGACGCTTTACACACAGACGCTTTTACACACGAGCGCTTTTACACACAGACGCTTTACACCCTGACGCTTTACACGCAGACACTTTTACACGCAAACACTTTTACATACAGACGCTTTTACACACAGAAGCTTTTACACAGACGCTTTTGCACACAAAAATTTACACACAGAAGCTTTTACACGCAGGCACTTTTACACACAGGCACTTTTACACACAGGCGCTTTTTCACACAGACAGTTTTACACACAGACGCTTTTACACACAGAAGCTTTTACACAGACGCTTTTACACACAAAAGCTTTTACACACAGAAGCTTTTACAATCTTTTACACACAGAAGCTTTTACACACAGACGCTTTTACACACAGACGCTTTTACACACAGACGCTTTTACACACAGACACTTTTACACACAGACACTTTTACACACAGACACTTTTACACACAGACACTTTTACACACAGACACTTTTACACACAGACGCTTTTACACACAGACGCTTTTACACACAGATACTTTTACACACAAACTCGTTTACACACAGACGCGTTTACACACAGTTCTTGGCGATCGAACCTCATTTTGTGCGAAAGGGTTTGCGGGACGAATGTACACACAGACGCTTTTACACACTAACACTTCTACACACAGACGCTCTTACACACAGACGCTTTTACACACACACGCGTTTACACACAGACGCTTTTACACACAGACGCTTTTACACACAGACGCTTTTACACACAGACACTTGTACACACACGCACACACGCTTTCACACACAAACGCTTTTACACACAGACGCGTTGACACACACAAACGCTTTTACACACAGACGCTTTTACACGCAGATGCTTTTTACACACAGAACACTTGTACACACAGGAATTTTACCACCACAGACCACTTTTACACACAGGACACTTTTAAACACAGACGCTCTCAAACAGACGCTTTACACAAGACGCGTTTTACACCACAGACGCGTTTACACAAAGTTTTCCACACAAGAGTTTTTGGCGGCGAACCTGGTTTTGTGACGTAAGGGTGCGCGGGACGACACATTCAAAAATCGCAATTTTACATCAGTTTTTGGCGATCGAACCTCGTTTCGTGCGAAACAATTGCGCGGAGCAACTTGAAATCGCAATTTTACCTCAGCTTTTGACGATCAAACCTCGTTGATCGAAAGGGTGCGCCACAGCCGGAACCGCCGCCGGTCACGGGACAAGTTGATAAATCGCAATTTACTCAGTTTTGGCGATCGAAACCGGGTGGGTTTTGTACCCGCCCCGCTCCAGAGACCAGCACCCAACGCGGGACCACCCCTCTATCCAACGCAATTTTACCTCAGTTTTGGCGATCGAACCTCGTTACGTGCGAAAGGGGGGGGTTGCCGCCGGACAAGTTGAAATCGCAAATTTTTACCTCAGTTTGTTTTGGCGATTCGAACTCATTTCGTTGCGAAGGGTGGCGCCGGACAAGTTGAAATCGCAATTTTACCTCAGTTTTTGCGATCGAACCTCATTTCGTGCGAAAGGGTTGCGCGGGACAAGTTGAAATCGCAATTTTACCTCAGTTTTTGGCGATCGAACCTCGTTTCGTGCGAAAGGGTTGCGTTTCGTGCTGTCTCGTTGGCACTGCCCCTGCCCCCGCCTTCAGAAGAGAAATAGAAAAGAAGGAGAGGGCAAGAGGGGCAAGAGGGCAAGAGGGCAAGAGGAGAAGATGTGAAGATGTGAGGTTGTGAAGATGTGAGGATGTGAAGATGTGAAGATGTGAGGATGAGAAGATATGAAGATGTGAAGATGTGAAGATGAGCAGCTGTGAAGATGAGAAGATGTGAAGATGAGAAGATGTGAAGATGAGAAGATGTGAAGATGAGAAGATGTGAAGTGAGAAGATGTGAAGATGAGAAGATGTTAAGTGAGAAGATGTGAAGATGAGAAGATGTGAAGATGAGAAGATGTGAAGATGAGAAGATGTGAAGATGAGAAGGTGTGAAGTGAGAAGATGTGAGTGAGAAGATGTGAAGATGAGAAGATGTGAAGATGAGAAGATGAGAGACAGACCCCCACTATTGGAAGAACCCTGCGCTCAGACGCTCTCGGGAAAAAGCAAACAAAACAACCAGAAAAACGATAAAAACAAAAACGAAACCTGGTGTTTGTTCGATTCTTATGTTTTGCTTTCCCTGTTTCCCAAATGGGTTTCTTAAGAATTTGGAAAGAATGTGCACATTGAATTTGCACAAGAACACTTGCGCGTTGGGAAAATTCCCTCTTTGCACTTTCTCTGCTTCCGTGCTTGGACAGTTTTTTCTCCCACGGTGCCTGCTTTTTCGCTGAAGCCCTCTTTACTGCTCAGATCTCTTCAGCCTTTTTTCTTTTCTTCTCTTTGCCCCTTTGCTCCTCTAGCCTACTCCACTCTACTCTTTGCTACCCCTTTTCCCTCTTCTCTTTCTGCTACTCTTCTCCTCCTTTTCTTCTACCCTTCTCTTTTCTTCTCTTCGCTACTCCTGTTTGCTCTGTTCTATACTTGTCTCGTTTATTCTTTGTTCTGCTTTTCTCTTCTCTCCACTCTCCTCACTACCCAGCTCTTCTCTGCTCTTCTCTTTGCTTGTCTTTCCTCCACGCCTCTATCCTCTGATCATCTCTTGTGTTGACCATCCGGTCTCCTTAAGTCCTCGAATAAACGGCCACAGTTAACGGGAATGGGAAGCGTCCTGAAGCTGACCACAGTGTCCGAATGTCGAACCACGCCACCAGCCGCAGCTACCAGCAATACAAACGCACCCAGCCCATTGCAATCTGCAAGCATCAATTTGCAGACCACCTAAGAACGTCTAAGAACTACCCTGCGCCAAATCAAAATATGAAACCGATACCTGAACTCCAACGCACGGCCTATCCGCGCACGATCACATGATGATCCCCCTATCTCATCATGACCCGAGACAGCTTCGCACATGGCGCTCGGCAGAGCCTGCTTACACCAACGTTTCATACGCCCGCGATCTTTCAAAAATGTGTTTTGCCGCTTGAAAGTTGGAAGCGTGAAAACGAAGCTTCTGTGTCAGACTTCCGTCCTCTTTCTTTGTCGTGGCATCATCTCTTGAAATCTTTTTGTCTACCGTTTTTTCTTGACATAGCTTCTTGGTGTTTCTTGGTAACCTGGTAACCCTCCCGTAGCATCTCATGTTGACTCTGACTCCTTTTTTCGACCCCTTGGCCTGGTCTTCCTGTACGTGCCGCAATACCTCAGACGCGATGGATTCGATGGAATTGATGCTTGGTTCGGTTCCATGGATTTCCCGATTTCCCCTGTGATAATCCATGATCATCTACACTATCTTGGATATATATATATATGGATATAAATGGATATATGGGATAGTACAAGTATACCCCCCTAACAATCATCAGACCACAAAACATGCAATTGAGGCAAGCAGCATGGAAATATGTCCCAGTGTGTGCCACTGGACTCTCTGTCACAAAAGCTCGTGCAATGGGACCGCATTGCAAGGCTCAAACGCCTGGCACCACGTTGCCGGCTCAGCCAAGAGGACTGTTGCAAGGACGGACGCATGCGGGGATTTTGCAAGGAGTTTCCGAAGTGATCCAACGGAGTGAGAAGAATTGGCTCCTAGCTATTTTCATATACTTTCATAAGGAACCAGCCTCACTTACGCCCATCAAAATGACTCACTTGCGCCCACATTCATATATACCTATCTTCATGTACATAAAAACCTTGTAGAGTTTATCTTTTTAGGGGACATGGGGGGGACTTGGGGTTAGGGGGGGACTTGGGGACAAGGAGACAGGGAGTAGCATCAAGGCTGTCTTGCAAGCTACTTCAACATGTTATCAACGTAGCATATTGAGCGTCTTCCCCGTTACGTCAACATGTTTTTAATATAGCATCAAGGCTGTCTTCCAAGTTACTTTAACATGTCATCGCAGTCTCATTGACACCGTCTTCCAAGACTTCCAAGTTACTTTCGCATGTTTCCAACATACCCTCAGGAGAGTCTTCCACGTTACTTGAACATGATTTAAATATAGCATCAAGGCTGTCTTCCAAGTTACTTCAACATGTCATCAAGGTAGCATTCAGGGCGTCTTCCAAGCTACTTTAGCAAGATGCTTCTATTCGCTTGCTCTTGAACACGCTACCGCTAAACTTGTCGAGCGATGCAGTTTCCCTCAGCCCGGCTGCGTAAAATCACTGAAAGGGGCTACGCGGGCACAAGCGAGACAAATCGACGGGCACAAGCGAGGCCGTATCTCCTCGTAACCCTCCCGTAGCATCTCATGTTGACTCTGACTCTTTTTTTCGACCCCTTGGCCTGGTCTTCCTGTACGTGCCGCAATACCTCAGACGCGATGGATTCGATGGAATTGATGCTTGGTTCGGTTCCATGGATTTCCCGATTTCCCCTGTGATAATCCATGATCATCTACACTATCTTGGATATATATATATACATTCAACTCAAGCTGCCCCTATTGCCCTTCACGCCACGCTCTTTTTGACTGAAGCCCGTGCCTTCTGTCATAGGCGTTAGCCCCCAGCTTTGCCTGAGCTCTGCAGTAAGCCGTGTTGATCCGTTTTTGACCCACAGCCTGCAGAGCCTACCCAGTGCCAGTGACTGCCCTTCTTTAAAGAATCTGCAGTCCACCAGGTGTCAGGTCAAAGCCAAATTTTTGTTTCCACGCGTCCCTTCCTGGCTCACAGAAATAAAGAAAGCCCGCATGGCTTTGCATCGGGTTTGGGCGCTGGTGGGCAACGTGATCTGGGTCATGGCTTGCACCCCAGCATCAATGTAGATTCGGGCTGTGGGCAAGTGCTGCCAGCGACCCTGAGTCACCAACATGTCCATAGGGACTCCTTGGCGATAAGCGCTGGTGACACCTCCCCGGCGCAGCCTATAAGGCATGTAGCCCATATTGTCCAAACCCAGCGCCTCTAAAACGGATCTAAATAAAGACCGAAACTGATGATTGCTCATCTGAGACAGAGTATCGCCTGGCTGCAGCCCTTTGCACAACGGTTTAACCGCTTGAATAGCTACTTTTTCATGTAGCACTACCTTGTCAAGCGGAAGGAAATTGCGCTTGGTGCCTTTTGTATTTTCCAACAGCAGCACAGCTTCGGAACAAGAAGCCTTATCAGCACCAACCACCTCTTTCTTTTTCAAGTTCAGCAGTTCAGAGGTGCGCAAAAATCCTGAAAAACCCAGGATCAGGAGCCAGCCCAAGCGAGGTTGTTTCCACTTGAAACACTGCCCTGCCAGACTGAAAACTAGCTCTGGGCTGAGTGGGGTGGCTCTACTTGCCAGTTCCACCTGATTCCAGGTTTTCACCAACTTCCAGGACCACACCAAGTGATTTTTGGTCTGTGGTCGAAAGAATTGTATGGCTGCCAACAGGTAAGAGGCCTCTGATTTTGGCAGCCCCTCTTCCCACATATATTCAATGCATTCTGCTGCCATGTTATCTACCTTTAAGGTATCCGTTACAATGAATTCTTCAGCCAGATTGTGAAACTTACAAAAAGTGTTGAAACTATCTCGGTACCTTGTTCTCGTTCGGGGCTGGACAACTAGCTGCGACAATGGACCAAGTTTCCTCCTGTCTTCTTTTCGGCTTTGCTTTGATGGGTGCTGCACGGCCCTGGCTCTAGCGTTCATAACGCCAACTCGGGGCATCAGCAGGGTTGAGGTGGCTTTCGATCCATGCTAGGACCGGGTATAAACCAGCGGCAGTGCACATGGCACCCAATCGTCGCAAAAGCCGATTCAGCTTGTGACTGGAGGACCTTCCCTTGACCGCCACCGACAAGGTGACTTGGGAGTCCGCCAAATGCAGGAATCTGGTCCCATTGAAGCTCTTTCGCCGCAGCCTCCATTCCACTGTATGGACCAAAGCACGCAGCTCCAGAACATTAATATGCTCTTCTACCTCAAAGGGGTAGGAGTGAGCCACGTGCCATAGCCAGCGGTGTGGGTTCACAGTTGCCCGCGGATACGCATCCGCCCAGTACAGGGTGTTTACGTCCAGTCTGACGTCCTTCCCCTAAATTCTTGCCTCCGAACAAAAGCCTGCACCATTTGCACGGCCAGGTTCATATCAGATTCTGAAATGCCGGCAACAGCCGTGCTACTTGCTGGTCCTCTGGGAACGCGCTTTGATTCCATTTTCCAGCTGCATTCTTGGGTAGCATCCGATTCTCCATCTGAATCACCCTCCGTTGGGGCCGGATCCAAGGAGATTTCTTGACTTGGCTCCACAACCTTCTGTGCTTCCCTTTTGATCTCCTCTGCTCGCGCTTCCACGATCTCATGATGTCCCACTAAAGGCTTCACTCCAAAAGACCACAACGCATGATCAAAGAGTGCTGCCACGGCCACAGCATGGAAGGCATTTCCAATGGCCGCACACCTCTGGTCTTCCTTTTGGAATCCCATTAGGACTTCCCTTTCATTTGCATTCAGAGTTGTATGTATAGGGAGGGTACCGGTAACGGTCTGTGATCCACCTGGAACGGCCCTCCTCACTAGTGGAGTCCAGGCCGGCTGGTGTCTTTGGGCCCTCGTCATTGTTGGAAACCGGGCCGCAGTGTCATTTTCACCTGACTGCCACCTACAGCCCTGTGACAGCACTGCATGCATTGGCTCTGTAGCCGCCCCATACCAAACCTCGTCAAACAATTCATGCTGATGAATCTCCACTTCTTGATGCGCTATCAAATCAATCGATAACCAGAAAAGCCTAGGGCGGCGGGCTCTTGAAAGGTGCTTGGAGTCCACCAACAGTGGCCTCAAATCCAACTCCTTGCTCATGATTCTGATGTCTTCGTCATCAGGAACCACATTCTCAAGGAACCGGACACACCACATGCCTTCCAAAGAGGCCTCCTCTTTGACCAGCTTCATCACTCTGACCGCATCGTGAAACAAGGCACTCCTCTCATCATCCAAGTGCCTTCTGTCAACCGACAGTTTTGACAGCCCTTGGCATGGACTGCCGCCTCCCACAATGACACCATTGGCATCCGGGATTTTTCTCAGCCACTGCTTCACTTGGTCTCGGTCCACCTTTTTGATGTCTGCACACAACTCCAGTCCTGGAAATCTTCTGCGCAGACGGCGACGGCAGTCAGGGTCTGACTCTACCGCCACAGTGAACCATGGAAGCGCCCGGTCCAAACCTCCAATACCTGCAAACAGGTCCACAACCACGATCTTCTGGCCCACATCCCTGAAGTCATCTGACAACAGGGCTTCCTCCACATCTTCTTCTTCCATCATCTTGTCAAGCTCCTCCACACCCAACCTGCTAAGGCGAGATGCGTAACAGGCACCTCCTCCAGTCTCTGATGCATCGCTGGCGGTCACCACGGGGTCAATCTTCGCTTTTAAATCTGATGCCACCACCGGCAGCAAACTTTCCAAAACTAACATCGCATCATAAAGCGCAGTGCTGGCCCTTACCATGTCTTGGCTCTGGGCAATGACCTTGAAAACTTCTTGCAGCACAGAAAACAAACAGCGACGGAACTGCAAGATGTGCACAGCCTTTCCTGCGTAGATCTGGAGGCCCACTCTCTTCACCTTTTTCTGGCGTCGAAGCCAGGCCCCAAGGCTCATCAACTCCAGACTCCTTTTGGTTGAAACCCGCAACAGACCATTTTTCCCATCCAAGACCGCACCCAGGCGTTCTGCATGCCTGGAACGTTCAATGGCCTTGGCACCATTTGTGGGGATACCCCACCACTCATCGGCCTTCTGAGCTGGGCTTGCTCGAAAGGAGGCAGCCCTTGCAGCTTCTCCGCCACCGTTTTTCCCACCTTTTCAATGATGGTGGTGTCATCCAAGTATATGGTCCATGCAGGGGAATCCTCCAGAGACGGAAATACTGCATCCTTCCTGATCTCTGATCTTGCTGGCAACCCCGCTCCAAAATTCAGCTCAAACCTGAGAGCTAGCTGCGCTGCTCCATCCCATCGGGAGGACTGCTAGACCCACCAGGGTCTCGCCCGGTCGGTCCGGTTCAAAGATGTTCCACGGCACCGGCTTTCTCAGCACCAGATACTGGGGCCAGGTGGGCGGCAACCTAAACAAATAAAACGCCGCCGTGAGATCATCGCCGCTCACCAGGAGCTCCTCATCTGGTCCCATGAAATGCAGCCGCTCCAGTCAGCGTTCGTACGTTTCCCTCCAGCTGCTCAAGGATTGTGTTCGAGGCGCGGAGATCCACAATCATCCGCAGGACGGGAAGCCCGGTGTCTGTGTATTTTTGGGGTTTTACAACCCCGAAAGCTCCGTTTAGGACTGGCTCCCCTCTCACACTGGGTCTGGTGTTAACGGGGACAACCAGGTGCCTCTCGTACAAAGCCTTTACCACCTTTGGCCACTCCCCGTCCTCGCACATGACACGTGGTTGCGGCACTTCTTCAATGACCTCCCTCAACATGAGGTCTGGTCTAAGCAGTCGTTGGCGCAGCTTGTCATCCACCACCTCCAGGATGTCTACCAGCCCGCCATGATTCGGCGTCGGCAGCCCCGGAAGGATCTGCTCCAAAGTCAGTGCCTGGGCTTTCTCCACCACTTCACCGGTGCACGACACCCGGAGCTGTCCTAACTCCTGCTCCCAGTCAAAGTTAGGGGTTCGTGGGACCCCCCCTTTTTGGGGCTTGTCGTCAACAAAGACTTTAACCAGCTCCCAGAGTCTGTTCAAAGCCGCTTCCTGCTGGCTGGAAGCTCTAGCGGCTGGAGGACCTACTCCATCTTGAAGGCTGCCTCCACTGTGGAGCCAATTTAGACTCACTACCACCAGGCTATGCCACAAAAGCAGGCCCTGCATTCGCAGCGGACGGCTAGCCTTGGTCTTTGTGCTTCCTCTCCAGCGCCAATCACCAGGCTCGTCCTTGTACTTCTGAACCATTAAGACCTCCTCCATTGCATCCCTAACATCTGGCCAAAGGGGCAGCGGCATGAGGTTCCGCTGTCTCACGTCCTGCTCCCATGGGGGCTTCAGTGCATTCTCCAAAAGACGGCCAAATGATCCATTCAACGTGACAGCCTGTAAGAGGATATACTGGGCCATTTGTGCAGCCGTGAGGTGGCTTCCACCATTACTTTTCAGCGATTCCAGGACCTCCCGCACCTTGCCAAGCCTACTTCATCTCTACCCGGCGGGGTTCGGCTCCTGTGGCCTGCTCTCCTTTCCTTTCCCTTTTCTTTGGCCTTCCATTTCTTCCACCTCTCTCTTTTCCTCCTCCAGAAACCTCCCCCTTTTGGGGTCTGGTCTCCTTCCTTCTTGGGGGTCTCCTTTACCTTGGCGGCTTTGTGGTCTACGCCCTCGCCTGGTCCCCCTCGCAGGGCTGCTTTCCTCTGCGCGGCTTGGTCGGCTTGTGCCTTGATCTCCTTCAGGTCACTCGGGGCGGGGCTCACCCGCCCCTTGGGTTTTCTGGTGTGTCTTCAAAGGACTCACGGGCCTCCCCTGGGCTGGGTCTGGCCCGCTGCCACGTCCCTATTTTTCCTTTTCCCTTCCGACCTTTCGCAGGGACTCTTTCAGCTTTGCCGCCTTTAGTTCCTGCTTTGCGGCCATCTCCCTTTCCTCGGCCCTGACCAGAGAGGCGGCCGCTGGGGGGATCAGCTCCAAGTGGCGGGCAGTCAGCCAGTTGCCTTCCAACAAAGCTGTCTCGCAGGCTTTTAGTCTTTGCGTCAAGGTGTCGCTCCCCTGGGCTAATCGCCCCGCCAGGAGATGATCGAGGGTCACGGAGATGGTCTGGAGTTCCCTCTGCATTCGAAGTGTCATGGACGGATGGGCTGCGAGAATAATCTGGCTCAGATAAGCCCCCGCTCTCTGCCCCGCCCACTTCGTCTCCAGATCTGCCGACTCGACCTTGTCCGTTAAATAGCGCGTCATTTCGTCCAGAGCTAGTCGAGTCAGCCGCCCGGGTTTCTTTTGTGCCACTCTCCAGAGCTCGATGCCCCCCCGGGCTGGGGTCAACTGAAAACTCGAAGAGTCACTCCTCTCACCACTCGAGGTGTCTGAGGAAGCTCGGCGCTTCTTATGCGACCTTGCCTTCCTATCTTCCTTTTTCTTTTTCTTCGAAGGGGCAACGGCCTCTCCATGCTTGTTGGCTTGCTTCATGAGGTACTCCTTCATAGATTCCCGCCTCTTTGGGCTCCGCGATCTTGCGTCTGCCCTGCCCTTATCTACATTCGGCGGTGGAGCCTCATCCTCATGAGCTGCCAGCAGGGCATCCAACCCCGACCCCAAACCTGGGGTGTTGGCCTTCTTGTCTCTGGCAGCTGAAGCCAGTGCCGCCTCGGCCAACTGGAGACCCATACCCTTGAGGTATCCAGTCCCCACCATGGCCGCTGGCGTCAAGAGGCGCCACGTGTCAACATGGATCAGCTCTCGGCCATCACCCCTTTTCTTTCTAACTCGGCAATGGGCAGCCTCGCAGTCACACAGGTTGTAGAGTCCGTTTTCTAGACCCATCTGGTGCTCCGCAAACCACCCATAGTACCCGTCAGAGGAAGGTCCGTGGCTACCTGTAAACAGGCCTGCCTCGGCATCCTCCCAACTCTTCAAAGTGAGGACGGCGCGTCCCTGCCCATGCCAGTTGTTGTCATAGCACTCATACTCCAGAATGCGCTCTTCTTCGAAAAGCTCCCTCCTGCCTTTCACCCAGGCCAGCTCTTGGCTTGAGCGCCCAAGCGTCAACGCTTTGTCCACCTCACTGGTGGTGAGCCCCAAGCTCGAGCCTCTCTGATACAAGCGCTCCATCCCTCTTCCACCGAAAGGTAAGGGGAGAGCGCAAGTCGGCTGGAACACCGGCTTTCAAATCAGCGCTCACTGCCCGGTGATGGACCCCCTCCACTTAGGTCTGGGAGCCACACCAGGCAGGAGCAGCTAAGCCCTTCCTGTGAGCCGAAAACTCACATCGGGGCAGCAACGTTTCATGTATAAATCTCACTTTGTGATCAACCATACATAAATACATATATATATATGTATGGATATATATATATGGATATATAATATATGGGATAGTACAAGCATACCCCCCTAACAATCATCAGACCACAAAACATGCAATTGAGGCAAGCAGCATGGAAATATGTCCCAGTGTGTGCCACTGGACTCTCTGTCACAAAAACTCGTGCAATGGGACCGAATTGCAAGGCTCAAACGCCTGGCACCACGTTGCCGGCTCAGCCAAGAGGACTGTTGCAAGGACGGACGCATGCGGGGATTTTGCAAGGAGTTTCCGAAGTGATCCAACGGAGTGAGTGGAATTGGCTCCTAGCTAGTGTCATTTATATTTTCCATTGAACTGTCCATCGTTTTTTACTCCAAGGCTTGCCTCACTGCGCAAATGGCAGCATCGGCCGCAGGACTGAGGGTTAAACAAAAAGTTGACATGCCTTTCCGCTGACCCTAAGCTGATCAGGACTGGCAAAGCGATCCCTTTGGGCAAGGGAACTAAGGGAACTGGCACGGTTCCTCTGTGCGAGCTTCTTGCTCATGGCATGTAACAATCTGCTACCGGAACCTTCACATATTCAAGTCAAGTATTGTTTAATCTCACTTGTTCTACTCTGGATGATTTCTTCATGGATGCCAATTTACGAAGACTTTGCATGCAGCGCATCGTTTCTTGATAACTGACACGGGCGGCGCACTCAGGCTCCTGTCCATTGACTTGCCAGTCATATCACCACGTTACGCGGAATGCTTGGACACACGGGACAACAACATCTGTGCTAGCCTTCACTGCCACTTCACTGGGATCATTCAACCTGTATCAGCGGTCTGACGGAAGGCAAGCTACCTCTGTGGGCCATGTACTGGCACAGCTGGTGAGAGGAGAGCGCTGTAGAAAGCACAGCTGTTTGCGCAAGGACTGGAACTCCCAAGGGAGGCGTCCAGTTCGAGCTGTTCTGGGAACACGCACGGGCAAGATCTGACATTGTCAGATGAAACTGATGTCATGACGCTTCTCACTGAACACCAACAGAAGGCTGGAGATGACCCCACTTTCTGACCAGCTCGCAAGCTGGAACAAACGTTCGGAGCAAGGGGCCCATCACACCACTCAATGATGTGGGGTAGTTGTCAAACGACAATCTCATGACACACTCTTCACTTGGTCAAACAACGATGAATCTGTCAGTCAAAACACCGCGCAGCGTGCACAAAGCCTACAGGCGCACCTTTCTTCCCACCTTATGACCGCACATCTCTATCAAAAAAGCCGCGCATCTGATGGTACATCCTGGTCGTGCCACATAAGAATGCTAAATACTGGAGGCTCCCCCCTCCCTTGAAAATTATTAACAAGGCTGCGCGGGAATGCTAGAGACAGCAACGTATATGGCATGGTCTTGCACAGATGCTGGTAGATCCAAACATGCATGGAGCAAGTGTACGGCAGAAAGCAGTTTTCCATTCAAAACATCTGGCATGAGTTGGGGTTTGGCATCTGCAAAACTCCATGTTTCTCAAATATCCGCAGTAGATAGAAACCTGTTCATTCAAGCATTCTGGTAAGCCGCTCCTGGGTCAAAAGCCAAGCCGACCGAAATGCTGACCACGGTTCAGCACAAAGCAACATCTGCGATCACAAGTGCTGAAGAGCAAAAGTCCGTGCAGAACTGGTGCAGTTCACCTACAAGCAATACTCTCATGCTGAACACTTGCCATACCTCGCGCTCTCTGTGAGCAAAGGCACTGGGGCAGCGCCGTTTTGCAACTGTCCCTTCACAAGGCAGGATCCAGCAGCGTATCCTTCATCAGAGGTCAGGTGCTTACATGACAAGTGCATCAAGCTTGCAAGTAAAAGCTGCCTGGGTAAGAGGACTGTCTCTAGAAACCATGCCATTCTGGCCAGGGGCTTCAAGGGAAACAAACAGTTCGCCAAGAGGGCAACGTTCCGTTTAAAAAACACAAGAAGCAGCCTGTGCAAACATTGGAGGCTCCGCCCCTCCCTTGCAAATCATTGATTTTGCTATGCGAAAATGCTAGAGACAGCAGCGTTGGTAGATCCAAACATGCATGGAGCAAGTGCATGGTAGAAAGCAGCTTTCCATTCAAAACATCTGGCATGAGTTGGGGTTTGGCATCTGCAAAACTCCATGTTTCTCAAATATCCGCAGTAGATAGAAACCTGTTCATTCAATTTTTCTGGTAAGCCGCTCTTGGGTCAAAAGCCAAGCCGACCGACATGATGGCCACGGCTCAGCACTGCGATCACAAGTGCTGAAGAGCAAAAGTCCGTGCAGAACTGGTGCAGTTCACCTACAAGCAATACTCTCATGCTGAACACTGGCCATACCTCATCCTCTTCGTGAGGGAGCGGTGGGGCAGCGCCGTTTTGCAACTGTCCCTTCACAAGGCAGGATCCAGCAGCGTATCCTTCATCAGAGGTCAGGTGCTTACATGACAAGTGCATCAAGCTTGCAAGTAAAAGCTGCCTGGGTAAGAGGACTGTCTCTAGAAACCATGCCATTCTGGCCAGGGACTTCAAGGGAAACAAACAGTTCGCCAAGAGGGCAACGTTCCGTTTAAAAAACACAAGAAGCAGCCTGTGCAAACATTGGAGGCTCCGCCCCTCCCTTGCAAATCATTGATTTCGCTATGCGGAAATGCTAGAGACAGCAGCGTTGGTAGATCCAAACATGCATGGAGCAAGTGCATGGTAGAAAGCAGCTTTCCATTCAAAACATCTGGCATGAGTTGGGGTTTGGCATCTGCAAAACTCCATGTTTCTCAAATATCCGTAGTAGATAGAAACCTGTTCATTCAAGCATTCTGGTAAGCCGCTCTTGGGTCAAAAGCCAAGCCGGCCGAAATGCTGACCACGGCTCAGCACAAAGCAACATCTGCGATCACAAGTGCTGAAGGGCAAAAGTCCGTGCAGAGCTGGCGCAGTTCGTCTACAGGCGCACCTTTCTTCCTGCACACTTCAAACTTATGACCACGTAACTTTATCATAGAAGCTGTCCATCTGGCATATGCTTGGCAGAAAAAACTTGCTCGGTTTGGTGGCTTCCTGGATTTCACTCTCTCTAACATCCGCGGCACAAAACTAGCTTTCCACTCACTACCTGGCAAACCCCTCTTCTTAAGTCGAGTTGACCCAAATGATGGCCACGCCACGGCTCAGCACAAAGCAACATCTGCGATCACAAGTGCTGAAGAGCAAAAGCCGTGCAGAACTGGCGCAGTTCACCTACAAGCAATACTCTCATGCTGAACACTGGCCATACCTCACGCTCTTCGTGGGGGAAGGTGGTGGGGCAGCGCCGTTTTGCAACTGTCGCTTCACAAGGCACGATCCAACAGCGTATTCTTCATCAGAGGTCAGGTGCTTATGTGAAAGTGCATCAAGCTTGCAAGTAGAAGCTGCCTAGGCAAGAGGACTGTCTCTAGAAACCATGCCATTCTGGCCAGGGACTTCAAGGGAAACAAACAGTTAGCCAAGAAGGGCACCGTTCCGTTTAAAAAAACACAAGAGGCAGCCTGTGCAAACATTGGAGGCTCCGCCCCTCCCTTGCAAATCATTTGGCATGGAGCAAGTGCATGGCAGCAAGCAGCTTGCCATTCAAAACATCTGGCATGAGTTGGGGTTTGGCATCTGCAAAACTCCATGTTTCTCAAATATATCCGTAGTAGATAGAAACCTGTTCATTCAAGCATTCTGGTAAGCCGCTCTTGGGTCAAAAGCCAAGCCGGCCGAAATGCTGACCACGGCTCAGCACAAACCAACATCTGCGATCACAAGTGCTGAAAGGCAGAGGTCTGTGCAGAAATGGCGCATTTCAACCAAATATCCTAAATTTATCCTGCAAACTTCAGAAGCTTACAGCCGCAGGGGAGGATCCAAATGCCGCATTCCAAAACTCGTTGGACTAAGGCCCCGCACTGGTCAGACAATACATCCATAATTTTTCCGCATGGGATGCTGACGGATTCACAAAACACGTGGCATGAGTTGGGGCTTGGCATCTGTAGAACTCCATGTTTCTCAAACATCAGCCGCAAAAAGGCAACTTTGCATTGAAGCAACATGGCAAACCCCTCTTCTCAAGTCAAGTTGACCCAAATGATGGCCACGGCTCAGCACAAAGCAACATCTGGGCCACCGTGCTAGAAGAGAGGAGAGCGCTGTAGACAGCACAGCTGTTTGCGCAAGGACTGGAACTCCCAAGGGAGGCGTCCAGTTCGAGCTGTTCTGGGAACACGCACGGGCAAGATCTGACATTGTCAGATGAAACTGATGTCATGACGCTTCTCACTGAACACCAACAGAAGGCTGGAGATGACCCCACTTTCTGGCCAGCTCGCAAGCTGGAACAAACGTTCGGAGCAAGGGGCCCATCACACCACTCAATGATGTGGGGTAGTTGTCAAACGACAATCTCAACGATATACTCTTGATTTCGTCGAACAACGATGAATCTGTCAGTCAACACACCGCGCAGCGTGCACAAAACCTACAGGCGCACCTTTCTTCCTGCACAACTCAAACTTATGACCACGTAACTTTATCATAGAAGCTGTCCATCTGGGAGTAAATGCTGGTGGTGCAGCATATGCTTGACACAAGAAACTTGCTCGGTTTGGCGGCTTCCTGGCTTTCACTCTCTCTAACATCCGCGGCACAAAACGAGCTTTCCACTCACACTACCTGGCAAACCCCTCTTCTTAAGTCGAATTGAACCAAATGATGGCCACGGCTCAGCACAAAGCAACATCTGCGATCACAAGTGCTGAAGAGCAAA